TTCTTTGATATTCATCAGACATCTGGAAACCAGGATTAATGATGCACTGCGTACAAAGATACATTAAGTAGAGGTCCTCCTTGCACATTGGTGCTATGCATTCCTGGCTCTAGGAAATGGTGCTCATCTCCATTTCAAAGCCGAAGAACCAGCATTGTCCAAAGATGTCTCCGTGGTCATGTGGCTGGCACGGACTAAATGCTGAAGGTGCATGGAATGTGGTACACAGTGTAAGGAACACTGTAAGTGGCTAAGATGCTGAGCTTGTCGATCAGAAAGGTTGGTGGTTCAGTGGTTTGAATCCCTAGTGCTGCATAATGGAGTGAGCGCCCATTACTTCTCCCAGATTCTGCCAACCTAGCAATTCGAAAGCATGTAAAAATGCAAGTAGAAAAATATGGGCCAGCTTTGGTGGGAAGATAACAGCATTCCATGCACCTTTGGCATTTAGTCATGCCAGTCATATGACCACAGAGATATCTTCGGAGAGTGCTGGCTCTTCGGCTTTGAAATGGAGATGAGCACCATTTCCTAGAGTCAGGAATGACTAGCACAAATGTGCAAGGAGAACCTTTACTTAATGTATCTTTGTACGCAGTGCATCATTAATCCTGGTTTCCAGATGTCTGATGAATATCAAAGAAATATCTAAATTTATTTTTTTAAGCTAAAGTTTAATTTGATTCTATTTTCCCAAATATGTACTCATCAGCAGAATCTAGCTTTCTTTCTCAGCCTATCAGTGGATTCATGGTCTCATTGTAATGCTTCCGATTCAGCTTTCCGTAGGAAAATAGAGAAACGGTGAGCAAATGGATGACTGCTGGCTTAGAATATTCTACTTGTCATTTGCATTCATAAATCTTTATCTGCTCACGAAGCAGATAACTAGGCCTGTAGTGAAATTCTATGCTTATTTTTACTATCATTATTACCGGCACAACAGCAATGCTACTTTTGCAATCCATGGGTATAATGGAAACAGCAAGCATCTACACATTTTTGAATAGCACAACAGAGCTTGGAATTAGTTTGCTGGGCCTATCACAAAAGCAAAACTCATTGAATAACTTTCCATCACATTGCCTAATCTGAAATGGGACAGTAGTACAGCTGATAGAAGTGATGTTACTGGAAATTGGACAAGCTACAGTTCATTAGCTAAATAAATGGATCCTGACGTGCTTGTATTGATTGACACTTGTACAGCCTACTAGCTGTTTCCTAGTTTGTTCAAAGTTGAGAAAGTCCTCTGATTGTTCTTTTCAAAAAGGGTGGGGTTTTTCCCCCATTTGTCCTAATGCTAAATAGCAAACCAGTATCTTAGCCCCTGACAAACAAAGCAGGGATAATAAATAATCTTTACATAATGATTTTCTTTTAAAAACAAAACTCCTTAAAATGCATCTAATTGATCTAAATAGAAGCCCAATGAAGTAGGTAGGGAATATAAATGAAAAAATAAAGTTAATCAGAAAAAGGATACTTAGTACTTGGAGGGGGAAAACCATCATGCAATCCCAGCTTGGTTATTTAGACTGGGAAGTTGAAAAATATCTCAGAAGAAAGCATTGGTGAACTACTTCTACCTTGTTGACAAGAAAACTGTATAAATGTGACTTTGAAACCTCTAAGAATCACATTTGATTCAAGGAACTTTTCTCCTTGTTATATTTATTTGGCATGCAGTGCAGTAGACTATCTATTCAATCAATTTGCTTATTGATTATGAGTTGCCTATCAATTATTTAGAGTTCAGTTTTTGTATATGCATGATGCATATATTTGCAAATATTTAAATTAAATATTTCAAGGTCATCCCTCCTAGCTTTCTATTAATTAATTTCAGAAGTGCTATATAGGTTATTGCAAGAGATGACTTTATAGATTTTGAAGTCCCTTGTTTCCATTGAATACTGGTGACTCAAATATTTGTTTAAAAACAGAAGTAAAAGGGCAAAAGGAATCAATATTTTATTTTTATTTTAGGAAGCTGATGAAGCTTTGTTGTGTAATTTAGAACTCCAGATTGAATCACAGTTCTTGCAAGATGATGTAAACGCTACGAAAGACAGATACAAGAAGGTAAGTCTTATAGCTGCTTCTTTCTCATTTCTATTTCCCAAGCAACTTTTAACAAATGAAGCTGCTCCTTCCCTTTTAATACAAATCTTCTTTCATGTGTCTAAATCCATGCTGGGCACAAAGAAGAGACATGACTGGTAAAAGTGTTCTTCTGCTTAGGGATGATCTCTTTTGTTTTCTTTCTATTTTTTTATACCGATATTTGTCAACCAGCATTTGGTGGAAAATGAAAGTTACATACAGCAAAATAATTCTTAATCCACAAATTTGCTTCCAACTCAGAGCTTCCAACTCAGACATATTTTGTACACAAAAAATTAACTTGCCTCTTAATACTATTTTTAAAAAAACTTTTGGCAGGAATTTATATTTGGATAAATTATTTTATGATGGCAAGTCATAAATATTAGGTCATTTTAGATCACCAAAAATTTATTAGATACCTCCAGTAGATGGAGATCTACTTCTTAACCAGCTCTGCTCCTGCTTCTGTTAACAATTAACTTTTTCTCTATACTTGAAATTCCTATCAACAATGTTTCTACGGGGCCTCTTTTACAAAGAAAAGGAAACATCTGTTCAGAGCTTTTCTCTATTCTAAAAAGTTAAAATTAACAGTGAGAAGGGTCCAGCTTTAACCCAAATTCACATCCTGCTGGTTTTTTGGACCCAATTTCTATCAAGGTATCATTATTTGTGCTCATCTTTATATTCTCCTGAAACAAAACATACTGGTTTAATCCTATCAAGTAGTTTAGCAGATTGTACAATTGAACCCTTCCTCCCCCAAGCTTTTTGGCTAAGATGAAGATTGATTATGTGACATAACTTTGGGGACAGATCATAGGTTCTTTTGTTCCTCTTTTGCCATCATAATGTTTAACAATCACTGAATCAATGATCATTAAGAGAGGACTACCTATTGTAACAGTGCTCTGTGTGCCTTCGGCATTTAGTCATGCTAGCCACATGACCACGGAGATGTCTTCAGAGAGCGCCAGCTCTTTGGCTTTGAAACAGATGAGCACCGCCCCCTAGAGTCAGAAATGACTAGTACATATGTGCAAGGGGAACCTTTATCTTTGCTTATTGTTAAAACCATTGTATGTATGAGGGATGAAATCCAACAGGTTCTGACAGGTTCTGGAGGACCGGTAGTGGAAATTTTAAGTAGTTCAGAGAACGGGCAACTGCCACCTCTGGCTGGCCCCAGAGTAGGGTGGGAATGGAGATTTTGCAATATCCTTCCCCTGGAATGGGGTGGGAATGGAGATTTTGCAGTATCCTTCCCCTGCCCACAGAACCAATAGTAAAAAAAATTGAATTTCACCACTGGTACGTATTAATAATATAATTCAATAACTGTATGTCACTTATATAACCAAATGGCGCCATCTATGAAGAAAGGTTGAGAAAAGTAATTGTAGTAGCATGCTAGAGAATACTCTGATAAAGCTAATCAATATAAGTGACAGTATAACTCCAGTTTTTCCTCAACATTTTTGCTTCCCTCGCTCCCAGAAGAAGGGGAAATTCAAATAGAAATTCAGCAGTACAGTTTCTTTCATCAAGTTTCTTGCTATAATAAGTTTGAATAATAATTTTATCTGGCCACAGAACCTCATGGAAGTACAGACCTATATCAGAAATTTAGAACAGATTGTGGAAGCAACGCCTCAGATGTCCACCATCATGGCTGGTGGCAGTGAGGTAAGCATTTTCTTTTACAAATCATTCTTCTATCAAAAGTTTTCTTCAGGCATACATCTGAACATTTGAGGATTTTACACTGTCTAGAGAAAGGGGCATGCAATTGCCATGTGTTCAGCCAGAAGGTCTGGCAGGAGTGTTAGCATCTTCATGTACACACGTGTACAAGTTGGAATCTTGCTTTATTATGATCTGAGATTAAGAAGAGAAGTCTACTTGTGTTCCAGTAAAAACTCCTCCTCGTGCCTTGGCTGAACATATGGCATTCAGAGAGGCTCAGGCTCTCAACCCAGCCTTGCTCCCAACATTCAAGTCTCTCCCATTCTACACAATGCCTGAAGAAAAATTATGTTCGTTGAAAGACCCCAATTATAAAATAAGATGGGAGGATAAGATCAGACTTTAAGATAAAAACTTGGAAGGTTATACTGTGGATCAATACAGAGCTACAAAGGAGTGCTTCTTACCTTTTCCTTTTGCTACAACTCCTTTGAAGCTACTTCACAAAGAAATGATTGAAGCCTGGGAAACCGGCCCCTTGTTAGTCAGGAGTGCTAATTTACCACTAGCTTACCAGTTACCCAGGAGCCCACGGATTCTGCAGTACAAGGAAATAGCAATAATTGGCCATCAACACCCCAATTAAGAACTAAATACAACCAGGCACCACATAAATGTTAGACACAGAACAGGCCAGTGCACACATTCTGGAGGGAGAGAGAGTTCTCTGAAGATGGGCTCCAGCACAAGTCCGAAAAGCTTGGAAGAACGAACCTTTGGTCCTGGTGACCAACTCAGATTGGATTCCGGAATGCCCACTCTCTACTTTCAAAGAGTAATGCAAAGATGCCATATTACTTTTCTTCACTTTGTTTCAGTGTCCACTTTGGCATTTCCAATAACTGAGTTGGAGAAAGACATTGAAGCAAGAGAAGGAATCTAGAGAAACTGGTTTTTGTAACTGCTGCATCTTGATGAGGAAAATATTGTTGCCTTCAAAGCACTAAGTACCTCACCCAAGGCGAAATATCTCACACAGGCCTATAAGTATCTCATGAAAGCCCTTCAGACAATTAATTAGTTGATCTTTGTTGAACCCTGCACCAATTGTCTTCTGATTGTCTTGATATTGACTGCTTAGGGCAGTATTCCACAATGAGCAACTGCTAGACACTGCAAAGAAATGGGAGGCGTCCTTTTCCCAGCTGCATTTTGAGGCAAGAATATTGCACTTTCTGCTTGGCCAGCTGAAGATACCTTAACTCTTTTTTTCAGTTGCAACTAAATATGAGTAATTCATCAAGGGTTCTTTACATTTGCCCTGAGACAAATGCAGTTGTTGTACATGCTGCTCTTCTAATGCCGTGGTCTATGAAAATGTGTACATGTTGGCCTAGAAGAACATGTATGGTAGTTACATATCAATCAGAGGTGGGTTCCTATCCGTTCACACCAGTTCAGTAGAACTGGTTCGTCAAATCTGCCGAACCGGTTAGAAAAGGTTCCACCAGAAAGCAGGCCACACCTACAGAAGAGGTTCCAAAAAATTTTGAAACCCACCACTGACACATACATACACACACACACACACGCAACACAAACACACACACACACAGACAGACAGACAGANAGGAAAGAAACTAAAACTATATCTGAATACTAACAATAATAATACATGTGCCATTGAATCCCAAGGTTTATAACAGCACAATTCAATAAAACATCCATGGTAAGACAAAGGGAAAAAATGGATACATTTAAAAGATTTTCAAATATTGTCATATAATATCATTTCCAAAAGTCTTTCTGAAAAACTTTGGTCTTTACTAACTTCTGAAAGACTGACCTCAAGATGACTAATCTAACATTTGGGGGGAGGCTGTTCCACAATAACAGAAAAATTGTGCTTTCTGGCCTCAGCCTTTACTTCTCCTTGCCTAATAATGAGGAGGTGGTTTGATAGACAATAGAGGGTCCTAGCAATAAATTGGATGGTTTGGCTTAGTCCACTACTTCTGCTGTAAACAAATGCTATTTCCAGTAATTGTCCTGCTTTGGGCACATTATGTGAATATTCAGTTACCTTAGACCTCTGGGAAAGGTAGAAGAAAAGAGAAAAGGAAGACAAGTAGTAAAAATATAAATAGACTTTATGACATTGGTAATGGTGCATTAATAGAAGATGTCAGGTTGTGGAGGGTTAGATCACCTTGGAGAAAATTGAGCTTTGTTGGTTGACACTGACATGATGGTAACTAATAAATCAATTTCCAGTATTCCAAGAAAATTTAATTTCATAGTATAATTTAGGAGATTTGCCATAAGTTGACTACAACCAGGATGCCATGGGTATGTAGCAAATGGACACGTAGGTGAAATAAGCACATTTGTATATTTCCAATTCTTACCCCATCCCCAATTAAGGCTGCAATTCTATATTTATTTGGGAGTAAGGCAGTCCCATTCTGTTCAGCACCTCTGCCTAAAGTAAGCATTTATGGAATTGTGGTATTAGTTTCTCAAACCTATGCAGTCATGATTTGCCAGTCAATCTTGGTATGGCAAAATCCCTCTCTCTGATCATATTCTGTTTCCTAATTCCATCTCACACTTATTGCTTTTCCATTTTCACTAGACAAAGGCTAGTGAATCCCATTACTCCTCGTTTTATTTTAGCTCTGTGTTATTTTTCTGCTTATTCTTTATCGTCCTAATGTTGCTTCTTCACATCACCTGCAATTCTCATTTTATAACAAAAACCAATGTGTAAAAGTGTGAATTTGCCATCAGTTTGGTTTTCCTTTGATCCTGGGAAGTGTTCCAAATTGCAAACACACAAAAAGAAATTTTAAGGGGAAGTTGAGGATTTGAAAATTTTTGAAAACTTACTGGCATAAAAGTTCAAAACAATTCAGATGAAGGGCTGAATGAACTGGGAAGATCTCTGGGGGAGGGATGACTGATGGAAGAAGCTAGGGAAAGAAGTACTGCAAAGGTTGGTAGGTGTGCAGTGAGAAGATCAGAATGGATGTAAGATTGGCAACTGATTGATGGGAAGATGGGCTGGAGGCCTAAGGTATCCTTCTATGCGTATCAGTAATGGTCTTCACTACCTGTTCGGAACTGGGAACGTGTGTGTGTGTGTGTTGCTCGCTTTGCTCACACATGGTGCTTCTGCACATGCATAGAACCTTCTGTGCATTTACAGAGCATCCGTGATGACATCTGGGTGGGTAGGAGGAGCCCCCTGCCGTCATCACTACCGGTTCGCCCAAACCGAGGCTAACCAGCAGAATACCACCTCTGATGCATACACAAATGGTGGGTATGATTCATGGATATTTAGCTAGGGAGTGTAAAATTATCTCATCAAAACAGGGTATAAATTTGGGGATCCTAATATCATGATATATCAGGATATTTTGCTATTTTGAAGGAAGCAGGATACAGGGAAATGTACAGCCCTCATACATCTGTCTTGATATTTTTGCAGCAACCCATTTTGCCCCATTTCTCTCCAACTGGGCTTTCAATCATCCAGTCATTTCACTAGGAACCTCAGAGTTCGAGGCAGAAGAGGAAGGTTGCAATGTGTAGATTCTAACTGAGAATGAAAGAAATGTAATGAATTGTTCATTAGACAAGAGACTGGGGAATTTAGGGCTTCTTTGATTGCAAATGTAATTCAATCAAAGAAACAAATCCTTTCAAGCTGACATGAGTTGACCTGTCACAAATTGTAAATATCAAACAGCTAATGCAATACTCACAAATGGCAGCTCGCAAACAAGCGCCTAGTTGAAATTGGTTGTTACAGAACATTCATAATGAATAAATAACAACATTGTTCAAATATTTTGGTGCATAGATCATCTAAAAAAATAATCAGCCAAGATAAAAAAACAGGGGCAAAGTTATCCCATTCCTAAAAATATTGAAACCAAAGAACATTTGCAGTACAGAAACAATTTTGAATGTGTGATCAATTTGCTCGGCAAGGCAAGAAATAAGTGGTTTATTAAGGGGTCGATTAATTCATTAGCTAATCATCAAATGCAATCAATTACACAGAGATCTGGAATCATTGCCCTAACATGGCATATCATATGCTTTCATACATTGTTTTACAGAAAGAATGTTGGAGGGAAAGAGAGAGAGCGTAATACTGATACTCTTAAAGGCCATCTGATCTTGCGAGTCTATTTAGTTTGTTGTGTAAGCTTTTAGAAATGTTTCCTGACTTAAAATAGATGTACAGTCTTCCTTCCTTCCTTCCTTCCTTCCTTCCTTCCTTCCTTCCTTCCTTCCTTCCTTCCTTCCTTCCTTCCTCAGGAGAGATCACTGTCAATCTGTGCTGCCCAGAATGGAGCAGTATTTTGATCACAGAGAACTGGTCTTAATAATTGCAATAGGGAGGGGAATAGGATGACTGCTGTTTGCAATGAAAATGTGTCATAATTGTAGATGGGGCTGGGATTTTCAGAGAGTGGTAGGATCTGAAGAATGCTTTGTCCTTTAAAAAAACTGTTTACAATTCTGTTTACTCCCCCCCTCCTTGGACTACCTACCTCAGAAAACCATTGCTATTCCTGCTAGTGAAAACTCCACAAATCTATGGGATGTTGATTACATAGTCATGACTGATTTTATTTCCACTGGCTTCAGTCTCTACATCTGAGCAAATCTGGATGAAATCCAATATGTGGTTTTGTTGTCTAGTTTCAAATACAATACCAACACCATATGTCTGAGATTATCCTACCTAAGAATAAATGCTAAAAAAATCGATTTTTATGAAATAAAATAATTGGGCCAAGGAGGTCTTTATGGGGAGCTTCATGGATGAGTTAGGATTTGAATCTTCTCCAGATTTCATGTACCATATGTGCTAATGACTGATCCCAGTCTTATTTATTATGTTTTCAATTTCATTTTAAAGGCCCAACCTAATAATTGAAATAGGCATATTCTACTTTGGTAAACAATTAGGTGAATGGGCA